CAACGCACCTACACAGAGGTCGATCTCAATTCACAGTTCAAGACTTACGTCACAAGTGACAACTATATATCAGTGAACGAGCAAGCCTCATTACAGTCCAGTTAACCTGAACATTCATGATTAGACTGCCTTTCTTCAAGTTAGAGACCTCCCCTGTCAAGTTAAGACGAGGGATCGGCAGTCAGGCGATTTTACATAAAGTTCAACGAGGACAGACACACCTGGTTTGTGCACCTACATCGTCAAGGACTTCGCAGCAATTACCTAGACGAAAGATACAAGTGGATCTAAATCCACAGCATTTCAGACTACAGCTGAATTTCATCAAGCGACTAACACAACTAGATGGTTAGTAAACCTACTAAACTTCTGTTTGGAGAATAAAACGGAAATTTCACGCCCAACCTGGGGATATGAATATAGTGCTCCAACACCTCACAAGTGAGGTTTATGAACACGCCTGGATGACATACTTGGACCCCATGATACGATGATTCTATCAAGATGGCCAGCAAGAGCACTGTAAATTTATCTCCACCAAACCAAACAGGAGAAAAAAATGCAACAGATTATTTCCTCTATCATCAACTTACGCAGAGTGAAGTCTCATGTACTATATCTCCATTTGGATCAGAACTGTCATACTACGTGCATATGCGGATGGACCTATTCCGACCCTCCATGAGCTTAATACTCATGATATTATAGCTTAACTTCTACAATTGTTCTACACAAATGTGATTGAAATAATGGAGGGTTTATTTCTGAAAACCGATATGGTGGTTGCAAACCATTATCTGAGAGATATCACCACCGAGGACGTCTCAGGTATACACCAATTGATCCCATGGTCCTCGCACAACAGCTGACAGTTTCTCGGAGAAGATAAGTCAATCTAACAGATTTTACTTATCTTATAACAATACTAAATAGCTTCATGCTATATATAATTTACTTAAGTTCCTTTTATCATCACAGTACTATGATTATTACATCATACAATATATAAGTTAACAACTCTACAGAGTTTGTTATTATATATATTTACCTTAAGTTATTCATATCTTAAGAGTAATACTATGGTTACATGATAAATGCATTAGCCTAACAAACTCTACAGAGTTTTTGGCTATTTTATACATAGCTTAAGTTAATTAAGCTAACAAACTCTAATGGAGTTTTACTATTATATAGGTAACTTAAGCTAATTATACCTTAAGCATAGTACTATACTCATATTATTAAAATATATTGGCTAACAAACTCTAAGGAGTTTTGCTATTATATAGGTAGCTTAAGCTTATTCATATCTTAAGCTTAGTACTATGTTTATATCATATAAGTAGATTAGCTAACAAACTCTAAAGAGTTTTTGCTATTTGGCTTAAGTATCATCATATTTCTAAGCAATATGGTTATATTATAACATGTATTAGCTAACAAACTCTACAGAGTTTTAGCTATTATATATGTAACTTAAGCTTATTCATATCTTAAGCGCTAGTACTATGTTTATATCATATAGGTATATTAGCTATCAAAACTCTAAAAGAGGTTTTGCTATTATATATTTCGCTTAAGTTTCATCATATTTTAAGCTTTTATGGTTACATTATAACATGTATTAGCTAACAAACTCTCACGGAGTTCTTGCTATTATATATGTAGCTTAAGTTTTCCTTCATAAGCTCAATACTAGGTTTATATCATAGCTAACAAACTCTAAAGGGTTGTTTTCGCTATTATACAATTAGCTTAAGTTTCATCATATCTTAAGCAGTATGTTTACATTATAAAGGTATTAGCTAACAAAACTCGACGGAGTTTTGTTATTATATATATATAGCTTAAGTTTCATCATAACTTAAGCTCAGTACTATGTTTTTAACATAAAAGTATATTAGTTAATAAACTCTAAGGAGTTTATTTTGCTATATACATTTAGCTTAAGTCTAATCTTATCTTAAGCTTAGTACTATGGTTACACTATAAACATATTAGCTAATAAACTCTACAGAGTTTTTTGGCTATTATATATGTAGCTTAAGTTAATAATATCTTAAGCACAATACTATACTCATATTGTAAAATATATTAGCTAACAAACTCTCACGGAGTTTTGCTATTATATATGTAGCTTAAGTTCATTATATCTTAAGCACACTACTATACTCATATTGTAAGATATATTAGCTAACAAACTCCTAACGGAGTTTTGCTATTATATATGTAGCTTAAGTTAATTATATCTTAAGCACACTACTATACTCATATTGTAAAAATATATTAGCTAACAAAACCCTGCACGGGTTTTGCTATATATATGTAGCTTAAGTTAATTATATCTTAAGCTCAGTACTATACTAATATTGTAAATATATATTAGCTAACAAACTCTACAGAGTTTGGCTATTATATATGTAGCTTAAGTTAATTATAGCTTAAGCACAGTACTATACTCATATTATAAAAATATATTAGCTAACAAACTCTACAGAGTTTGGCTATTATATATGTAGCTTAAGTTAATTATAGCTTAAGCACAGTACTATACTCATATTATAAAAATATATTAGCTAACAAACTCTACAGAGTTTTGCTATTATATATGTAGCTAAAGCTTATTCATATCTTAAGCTCAGCATTATATCTATATCATATAAGTATATTAACTAACAAACTCTAAAGAGTTTGCTATTATATAATTAGCTTAAGTTTAATCATATCTTAAGCTTAGTACTATGTTATATCTTAAAAGTATTTTAGCTAACAAACTCTAAGGAGTTTATACTAGCATATTAACAAGCTTAAGTCTATTAGTCTTAAGCATTGTATTAATGTTATATATACTTTATCATAATAAGTACATGGTAATAACCTTTTATATGGCAGCTGATAAGTTAGCAGCAGGAATTCATCAGTTCAGTGCCTTTATGAAGTTCCCATAGGGTTATTACAATCATCACAGTTCAAATCACTAATTATTAAAAATCCAAAGTATTAGATATTCCCACCTCCGTTCTGTAGGATACTACAAGCAAAAAGAGCATGAGTCAGGATAAGGAAAAATATGTAATTTTTGGAGTAAAATTGATATTTTATACTTATCCTGACTCATGAGGTCAGCCCTCCCATCCTCCCCAAATAACACTTTGGATTTCCCTGTAAATTCAAATGTTGGGCTCAGTATATGAGGAGAGAGTGAGGCACATGGGTAGAGGTGGCGCCCTCGTTCCCGAGCTTGTGGAAAGGAGGTAACTCGTGGTGAATACTAATTAGTGATTTTAAATTGAAGGGAGCTTCAATTAGGGAGATACAAGTGTTCCACTATGTTCGCAAGAAGAAGACAAGCAAAAAGAGCATGAGTCAGGATAAGTATAAAATATCAATTTTACTCCAAAAATTACATATTTCAGTGAACACTTTCTGGAAATGCTTATTTGGAAGATACCAGGCCTATCAGGGGTGGAAATAACCCGAGTCCAGTGTTTTTTTCTGTCGGGCAAGCAAATTTGGATATCACACTGTACCGGTGTTCAGTTGACTTTCCAATATTAATTATGTTCTTTATTTAAAAAATCAACAAGAAAACGTCCGGTATAGTGGAAAAATTATCAGGGCAAGTGACTTTACATGTGCCACTGTACCGGAGTACACTAGCAATTTTATTTCCACCCCTGCCTATAAACTCTTCTAGTGTTAACTAGAGCATTTTGGCTCCTGTTTTGTACAAGAGGTTCAGGGGCAAGGGGTTTAGGGGTAAGAGGTTCATGGGCAAGAGGTTTAGGACATGAGGTTCAGGGACATGAGGTTCAGGGGCAAGGGGTTTAGGGGCAATAGGTTCATGGGCAAGAGGTTCATTGGCATGAGGTTCATGGGCAAGAGGTTCATTGGCATGAGGTTCATGGGCAAGAGGTTCATGGGCAAGAGGTTTAGGACATGAGGTTCATGGGCAAGGGGTTTAGGGGCAAGAGGTTCAGGGGTAATAGGTTTAGGGCAGGAGGTTCACGGGCAAGGGGTTCAGGGGTAATAGGTTTAGGGCAGGAGGTTCATGGGCAAGAGGTTCATGGGCAAGAGGTTCATTGGCATGAGGTTCATGGGCAAGAGGTTCATGGGCAAGAGGTTTAGGACATGAGGTTCATGGGCAAGGGGTTTAGGGGCAAGAGGTTCAGGGGTAATAGGTTTAGGGCAGGAGGTTCACGGGCAAGGGGTTCAGGGGTAATAGGTTTAGGGCAGGAGGTTCACAGGCAAGGGGTTCAGGGGTAATAGGTTTAGGGCAGGAGGTTCAGGGGCAGGAGGTTCAGAAGAAGAGATTTAGGGAAAGAGGTTTAGGGCAGGAGGTTCAGGGGCATGAGGTTCAGAAGAAGAGATTTAGGGAAAGAGGTTTAGGGCAGGAGGTTCAGGGGCATGAGGTTCAAGGGCAAGAGGTTTAGGAGAAGAGATTTAGGGAAAGGGGTTTAGGGCAAGAGGTTCAGGGGCATGAAGTTCAGGAGAACCTATGTTCAGGGGCAGTGGCATCCCATTAGTCATCAGGGATCTGCTGATCATGGGTTTGAATCCAAGATTCATCCTCATGCCTGTGTTCATGGGTTTTAGCAAGGTGGAGAATATCTAAGGCATGCATTACTTCAGGTTTCCTCCAAAGGCTTACATACCATTCACAGCCACATTAAACCAGTCTCACTCACTAAATATTAGGGTATCTTACATGGACCTATCTGCAACTTTGATAAAATGGGTCACCAGGTCACCCATTTAACTAAAACTATGTTGTTGTTCAGCACACTGTGCAAAGTCTGGATCCAACAGCGGTCATGGTTTTGTGGCTTGAATACTTCTAAAATCTGTGTGAAACATAAAGCATTTTATCTAACCTCTGAAAACAGGCCTAACACGGGATAAAGACCTTGAAATCTGACTCCATCCACAGTCACGCTGCAGGTTCTGGAAGACATAACTAAAATAAATCTAAATATACTTCAATATTTTCTTGTTTCCAGGTGGCGCCCTCTCCAACAGCCTTGCCCTCTTCACCGATGTCCTTCACCTTGGCAGCGACCTTATCAGCTTCATCATCAGCCTGCTGGCCATCTACCTGTCCACCAAACCGGCCTCCAAGAAGATGTCCTTTGGCTACCATCGAGCTGGTCAGCTTTTTCTCTTATCACATTTGGGTGGTTGGGTAGCCTAGTGGTTAAAGTGTTTGCTCGTCACACCAAAGACATGGATTCGATCCCCTAATGGGTACAATGTGTGCTGGAATATGATAATGCTGGAATTTTGCCAGAAGTGGCATAAAACGCAGCTCACTCGTATCGTAATGACACAAAGAATCTTTGACAACCATACCTTTAGGGATTGAGAGGCAGAATAGGCCCCAAGTACAACATGGTAGAACACTATATGCACATAGATGCACTCTCAGGGATCCATCGAATCTAAACAGATGCACAAAATATAGGCTGCATCCACTGGGATGCAGAAAACTTTTATGCATTAGGAAGGAGTCAGTTTCAACAAATAATCATCTTTAGTCCTGTCAGATAAGGGCCGGTGGGGTAGCCTAATGGTTAAAGCATTTGCTCGTCATGCCGAAGGCCCAGATTCGATTCCCCACATGGGTACAATGTGTGAAGCCCATTTCTGGTGTCCCCTGCCATGATATTGCTGGAATATTGCTAAAAGCGACATAAAATCATACTCATTCACTTACTCACTCCTGTCAGGTACCTCTATATGCCACAAGGGGAGAAAGTTCAGAATCTGTGTGTGAGTCTGTTCATCAGCCTAAGTGTTTCTGTTACAGAGGTGTTGGGAGCTCTCTTCAGTGTGTTTATCATCTGGCTGGTGTCAGGAGTTTTGTGCTACATGGCTGTTGAGAGAATCATGCATGAACACTATAAGGATGTGAAAGCAGATGAAATGCTGATAACTGCCACCATTGGAGTTGTCTTCAATCTCATGTGAGTATTTACCAGCTCCAGGTCATCATGAAGCAACCAATCGGATTAAAATCTGATCTTTTCAATCAATGCAACACATCTTGCCGTGACTAATGCTTAGTCCCTGAAGATACATAATTCTGACACAAACAAATAACTCCATTTAAATTGAAAAGGAGCTCCAGTGAACTGATATTTAGAACCTGAGGAAATCTAGACTTGCTTTATCTAGAGCTTCTGCATTGCAGAAAGGCTGGGTGGAAGAGAAATAATGTTATTGGACTTTGAGACTGACTATATGAAGAAGCGTCCAGAGACAGATATTTATCAGTCAATCAGAGTTGAGTCTTCTGAGTTATCAGTATTAGCCAGGGAATCATACAGACAACCTCATTGCTGCAGTCTGAAGAGAAGAAAAGTGCTGTGGATATTATGTAAATTCCATAATTCTTTAGCACCATGGCACCTACATCAAGGAGGTGACTGTTTAGGGTGGTTTCATGTGCAAAGATCATTAAATGGTAAAGAAATGAAGCCAAATCATTCATCTGACTGGCATTCAGATTAAGTGGTCAAAGTTTGCTTATTGTATACCTGGTACAACTTACTTCAGGGGTGTTGTCCTCTCTTCATGCAGAGTGATATCAAAATATATCCTATTTTGTCTGTCAACTCGACTGTTCATTAATGTGTATAAAGAAGCTTGTAAGTTAGTTGGAGCCATATTCTGAGTCGGCCTTGTAGAATGTTATATGAAGGCTTCTTCACCCATGTAACCCATATCCATTTCACTGTTTGTTTCCAGAATGGGTTTTGTGCTCCATTCAGAGAGATGTTGCAAGTTCGGCTCAGCTCACCGCAGTTTCGGGCACAATCATTCCCATGGGTCAGGTCACAGTCATAAGACCCACCGGAACCGCAGCGAGTACCAACCTCTGCATCAAGTTCTGGATGATACCACAGAGCTGGATGAACATGAAGATATCCAAGAGTTTCATGAACTTAATCATCGACATAAAAACATTAATGTGCGTGCTGCTTTTATTCATGTTGTAGGAGATATTATTCAAAGCCTTGGAGTATTTGTTGCTGCTCTTATTATAAAATTTACGGTAAGTGATTGATCATGAAATTACAACCAAAATAAAATACTATCAAATAAGAATCAAGTTTAAGATTTAGTAGGCTCGTGAAACACAGCCCTCTTTGGTGCAGGCCGTGTTTGAATAAATATCATGGTTTTAGATGTTCATTGTTAAGATGACTGTTCACTACTATAATACATTGTACACAAACTGAGTCATGAAATATTTCTTGTCTTTGAAGAATAAGAGTTACCTGCTCTTGTCTTCTGCTCAAGTAAAGAAAAAACGGGTACAAATGATTGATTTCTGTGGACATTTTGCATTACCTACTTAGTGATATTTTATTTTTCCTTATCCTGACTCATGCTCTTTTGCTTGTCTTCTTCTTCTTGCGAACATAGTGGAAACACTTGTATCTCCTTAATTGAAGCTCCCTTCAATGTAAAATCACTAATTGGTACTCACCACGAGTTGCTCCCCTTTAATCCCTCTGGCGGGAAAGGTGTCGCCACCTTACAACCTCGTGCTTCACTCTCTCCTTCTTCGCCCAGTGAGCAGGATGCGAGAGCGCCTGTGTCTCCTTACACAACATATCCTTTGATATTTCTTAGTTTATTACCTCTTATAGTTTACTATAGAGGTACAGCTAGTATCCTTCAGTAATTTGTATTGATTATTTATCGTATTTCTACTGTTTATTCACGTGTATTCGTGATTGTTCAGCTAGTATTACGTTGATGAAAATCTGTACTATTTGTAGATTACGCTTTTTCTGCCTCAGATCCGCATGTAATATGCCCTAGTTGTTCTACGTGTGCGTTTGATTCACGCTGCAGTTATTGCATTAATTTATCTAATTCTGCATTTAATAAATATTATCTTTGGCGTCTTAAGACGTGCTGCAGATAGGTCACGCAAACAAGGGCTAAATATGGCTGATACTCCAGATACTCCATCTAGTCAGCTGCTGGCGATCGACCCTACCGCCTGGTGTTCTGCTAGAGACCCCATTGGAAGAGGGCGTGGGACGAGTCCGTCACCTCTAAGAAGCGACCGGCCTCCCCAGACATCCCGTCATCGCAGCTAAAGTCCAAGAGGGCCTCGACGTCTTCTCAACGCAGACTTCGTACCCCCAGGGCAGCGTCGACATCCAAAGGAAAGTCTACGAAGACAGCGAGAACTTTCTCAGCCGAGATCGTTCCAGCCGAAGAAATGGGCCTCTACGATGACCAGCCGATTATCATCCCCGACATACGGCACAAGAAGCGACCGGTGTCAGCGACAGTGACTTCAGCAGAGATCTCCATGCAGCCTGATGCCTCTACACTGATGTCAGACGTTATTGCTGTGGACCCCATCATTAACACCGCAGAGAAGGCTCAGACGACGTCGTCGCAGACCATCCCTGATGACCTGATGCAGCAAATTATGACGATGATGGAAGACCGATACAGACTGCAGAAGCAGGGACCGAGCCTTCGCGAAGGCTCCAACGTAGACAGCACCCCAGAGGCACCCCCCATCAACGTAGCAGCCAGGACGATGTCACCTTCGCGAAGGAAGGCACGGACCACCTCCACGAAGGACCTAGATGTACAGCCTTCGCGAAGGCGGGATAGATCATCACCCTCGTCACTTTCATCCCAAGATGTGGACTCGGACCATCAGACATCACGAAAGCCTTCGCGAAGGTCTTATCGGAATTCCCCCGGACCGGCCGCAGAGGAAGCTTCGCGAAGGCATTCGCGAAGGGCAGCTGAATCCAGATCATCATCATCTAGAAGGACATCGAGGGACTACACAAGAGCTTCGCGAAGCTATCAACGTTCTCCTCACAGGTCACCGAGAAGATCAACCCATAGACGTAGATCACCTAGACGATCTCCTCCTCGTTCATCACCACGTAGATCACCTTACAGGTCACCATACAGAGCTGCACAAGCATCGCCGGACTTAGAGACAGAAGCACGCAGTCCAGAGCAGCACCAACCTCTCATCAATGATGATGGTATAGAGGATGATGGAGGAGTTATTTTCTCCGATGCTGAGATACGGTATTGGATGGTCAATAACCTAGATCTCTCATCACCATCTAAAAATGGCAATGTGGCGCAGACATATCTGATGAAAGAAGACGATGCAGATGCTATCACACTACCACCGATCGACCCGATTGCAGCAGTCCCACAGAATCTAGATGCAGCATTCCACAAAGCCACGAAAGTTCAGACACCACATCTACCAAACTTTCATGCCAAGAAGTTCTCCACGCATAACATGGACCCCTTCTTCAAAGCTCAAGACATCGATGAGAACTATAAGTTGATCAACGACGTCAAGTACAAGAATTACAAGATTGATGATCGCAAGTTAGTCCAGATAGAAACCATGACGAGGCGTGATGTTTTGGTTTAAATAGATCTAGAACGATCAATGAGACTCTTATCACCAGATTTCGGGTGATACCGACTTCTGAGGATGATAGAATGATTTATTCTGCCTTACTTATGCAAAAGAAAGACCAGCAGTTCCTAACAGATCATCTTACATCTATTTCAGCAGCACTGACCTTAGCTCGTCGTCAAGGCCTCCTCGCTTCCTGCAACTGGGGTGAGAACTTTACAGCCCCACTGTATACAGCCCCCGTGGTCTTCAACATCCATCTTTAACGGAGAAATAGACAAAGTTTCCAAGGAAGTCACTAAGGATTCCAGAGAAGTCCTTATGATTAAATCGATGGACACACTAGCCAGCGTCATTCGACAGACTTCACAAAGATACTCAGGAAGATCTAAATTCACGGGCCTACAGAGAGCACGAGACAGGAAGATAGCCAGCTCTAGAGGAAAAGATTCTTTTCGTCGCCCATTCGGCAACTATAGAGGAGGATCAGGAAGAGGCAGGACACCCAGAGGTTCCCGCAACTATAAACGCTGAAAGACAGGTTCGGAACGACTGGAGTCTTCCACCCCCAGCCGTTCCAGTACAACCATCTCAAGTGGGTGGACGCCTCCAACTATACTTGGAAAACTGGGGAATGTTACAAGACCCTTATGTCTCCAGCATTCTTCGTCACGGATTTCGTATCCCACTAAAGGCCAAGCCTCCGCTGACAGTAAACCCTCACAAGTTCGACTTACAGGCACAACAACTACCGAAGTTAAGAGAGGCTGTTACATCACTCCTAATAAAGCAGGCCATAGAAGTACTAGACCAAGACAACATAGAACCAGGTTTCTACTCCCCAGTTTTCCTAGTTCCCAAGAAAAACTCCAAGGAGAAATACAGACTCATCTACAACATGAGCTTTTTCAACAAGAACTATCTACGCAAACCTCCGAAGTTCCGCATGATACATTTACCTCAGTTACGGCAGTTGATTCGCCCCATGGACTACATGGGCAGTATCGATCTACAGGACGCTTACCTGCACATCCCGATACACTCCAAAGCCAGGAAATACCTACGGTTTGCTTTAGACGGGCAACATTACCAGTGGAAAGTGCTCCCATTCGAATATCATCAGCCCCTGGCTTTTCAATGAGGATAACGTAAACCGATTATCACCTATCTTCATCATCAAAGGCTACGCGAGTGCGTTTTACCTCGACGACGGGATACAAGTAGATCAAGATCCACAGCATCTCAAACTACAGTTAAACTACATCATAAAGCTACTAACACAGCTAGGATGGTTAGTAAACTTACTCAAGTCGGACCTAGTACCGTCACAAGACCTACAGTTCCTAGGCATTCGATTTATCACAAATCTCAACCGTATCGTCAGCCAGAAGACCGTTGGATCAAGATCCAACAGACCATTCCACCAGCTCTACTCTCTCCGTTACCGCCCGACAGTGGCAGAGCCTCTTAGGTTTCTCACATCAGCCCAAGACATGACAGTCAGAGGCAGGTTACAGTTACGTCCCTTACAGGTCTTCATCAATGCTCATCTCGACGATTTACAGCCATTCAGTCTACCGAAACATCTCAGACCTCATCTACTATGGTGGACAAAGAAATCGAATGTCTGCGAAGGGATTTGTTTAGCAGAGCAGGAATTCAAAACCCATCTATATGTGGACGCATCACTTCAAGGTTGGGGAGCTCATCTCGCCAACCAGACGACATCGGGATTATGGAACCAACAAGAAAGCAAACTCCATATAAACATCCTAGAGATGAAAGCTGTAATCAACGCTTATTCTACATTGGAGCACATTTCTACAAAATGCGCACCTTATGATTCATACCGACAATTCCACAGTGGCGTTCTCATTGAACAAGCAAGGCTCAACGAGATCACTGAACCTTTTGAACTTAAGCTTTCAACTATTCGATCTAACCCACGATCTAAATCTACAGATCAGAGCAGTTCACATTCCCTCGAGCCAGAAATGTACTAGCAGACGCGCTCTCTCGGCCTCATCTACCATCACCGACAGAGTGGATGCTCAATACGGAAATATTTGCACAGATAATCAAGCCGTTAGCAGCGCCGCTAATAGATCATTCGCCACAAGATTCAACAATCAGCTACCGACATTCGTGTCACCAATCCCAGATCCACAAGCTTGGAAAACGACGCTCTAAGTATATCATGGAAGGCCTCAACGCTGCGACGCGTTTCCGCCGCCAGCAATAATACCTCAAGTATTACAGAAAATCAAACAAACACAGAGTCTACAACTCACTTTGGTCGCGCCCTACTGGCCGGCCAGAGTATGGTTTCCCATTCTAATTCAAGAAATCGGTCAACCAGTATTAGAGCTACCCAAGCGCTCAAACCTGTTAATACATCCACACACGAAACAGGTGCACGGAAACCCAGAAGTTTACCAACTTCACGTATGGACTGTATACAAATGTGTTTAAACAAGAGAGGATATTCTGCCAGGGCGGCAAAAGCGGTCACGCTTGCCTTACGACACTCGACTCGTAACTTGTACGACGACAAGTGGCACAGTTTCGAAAATTATGCAGCTAATAAAGGATTTACAGCGAGAGATGCTTCACATCCTCAAGTGGCAGACTATTTGTGTTACCTGCGGCAAAACAAACATTTAAGAGGTTCGACGATATCAACATATCTTGCCGCGTTTAGCTCTGTGATCACTATGAGAACGGGTGTCAAACTGACAAAATCTCCAGAGTTACTGGCCTTACTACGTGCTTTCGATTGGAGGACCAAAAGGAAGTTCCACGCCCCAGCTTGGGATCTGAATATAGTGTTACAACACCTCACTAGTGAGGCCTATGAACCTTTGGAATCGACAAACTTTGAATTTCTCTCACAGAAAACACTATTTCTGCTATCTCTAGCCACGGCAGCAAGAATATCTGAAATTCACGCTCTGGATTACGAGAGGATACAGTTTGATGACAATCAAAACATAGCGCACCTGGGATTAAGATGGGATTTCATCGCCAAAAATCAACTACCAGGTCAACCAGACAGGTTATTCCATGTACCAGCTATCCTCGATTCTCGGATCACAAGATACACAAGACTTATCACTGTGTCCAGTCAGAGCTCTCAAAGTTTACTTTACGACGATCCAAAACAAGGCTTAAGATTTCTCAAAAGATTATTCATCCCCTTATCGCCAACTAATCAAACAGAAGTCTCGCACTACCATATGTATTTGGATAAGGACTGTCATACTGCTACTACAAGGCAGCAGGCTTGGACCCACCAACAGCATCAAATCTGCATGAGATTAGGGCACTGGCTTCCACCCCGCCCCTGCACGCGGTAACTGTTCATTGAACACAATTATGGAAGGATGCTTTGGAAATCGAACATGGTGTTTGCGAATCACTACCTGAGAGACATCACCACAGAAGATGTCTCTGGCATTCACCATTTCGCCCTCTGGTCCTCGGCTCAACAGCTGACAGTCCCTCAGAGGGCGTTAAATATTACCATCACAAGTTTAATATGTATTATATACATAATTTAGCTAGCTTATAACTCTAAGGAGTTCTAGAGCTATGTATATATTTAGCTTAGGTTATTCACCCTAAGTATATATTGACATTATGTTTAGTTGTATTTTTACTCTATCAGAGTCACTTATATATATATATAATATATGTAATGGTTTTTCAGTATATATCAATGTAATACCCAATTATGGCATTATATAACCTATGGTTTATATACAGGAAATATCCTAAGTCAATGCCTTCATGAAGTTCCCATACCGGTTATTACAGTTATATTTATACAAAATCACTAATTATAAATCCAAAGTATTCTATTACTCCCTCCTCCGTTCGTAGGATTCTACAAGCAAAGAGCATGAGTCAGGATAAGGAAAATATGTAATTTTTAGAGTAAAATTGATATTTTATACTTATCCTGACTCATGAGGTCAGCCCTCCCATCCTCCCCACATAACACTTTGGATTTCCCCGTAAATTCAAGTGTTGGGCTCGCAAAATCAGGAGAGAGTGAAGCACGAGGTTGTAAGGTGGCGACACCTTTCCCGCCAGAGGGATTAAAGGGGAGCAATTCGTGGTGAGTACCAATTAGTGATTTTACATTGAAGGGAGCTTCAATTAAGGAGATACAAGTGTTTCCACTATGTTCGCAAGAAGAAGAAGACAAGCAAAAGAGCATGAGTCAGGATAAGTATAAAATACCAATTTTACTCTAAAAATTACATTTTTGAATATATTGATATATGGTGAGCGCTGAATACCGTCTTGTTTCTCATTGGGTCATTCCAGTCAGATGACCGGTTCCGTCTGGCCGATCCCATCTGTACGTTCCTGTTTTCTCTGTTGGTTCTGATCACCACGATAGCTGTGCTGCGTGACACGCTGCTGGTTATGATGGAAGGTGAGTTGATATCACGGGGTCAGTCATACTGTAGGCAGGTCATATTTCAAGTGCTGATATTGTACGCCTGAGTAAAGCTGCGGGCAGCCTTTAGTGAAACGTACCACATTGTCTTAGTCATTGAATTCCAGGTGCAAACACTGCTTGAGAATTAAAGGCATTTCAAAATTCAAAATATAAGTAAATGTTAGAACTTAGGAAACCTGTACACACTATGATACTTCCTCAGTGATTGATACGATGTAGGAATGAGTCAAATGACAAAACTAACTTGTGTATAACTCATTGTTGTATAAACATGCTCTGCTCATGAAGTTTATGACATCCTGGAGCTGGTATTGAAGCAGTATGGAGAGTAGATGGCCTCAAGGTGCACAGTTGGCACAAGAAATATGTAATATGTGAATGTAACCTGAGCACTCATTGGTCAGAGTACCGACTGGTCTTATCTTGCTGGAAGCAGGCCACGACCTGATGTGTTGGTAAAAACATCTTCTACACTGCAAAGTGGACACATGTATTGTCGGGTAATGGAGGAATGTGGTGAAGTATTGACCATAGAAGAAGAGGGTCCTGGTCTCTTATTTAAATAATGTGTATAATAATGTCAGACTACTCACTACTACACTGAAACAAAATGCTGTGACTTCAACAAGTAGCAGGAACCTTCACATCCTCCTCGAGTCAGCGAGTAAGTCCATGCACTAAGGCAGAGTTACATGCTCAGTGTATGTTAAGTCTGTATGTACATGGTAAACATTTGTCATTGCAGGGGTTCCAAGAGACATCAATTATGACAGTCTGAAGCAGGAACTGTGTTCAGTTGAGGGTGTTGAGATGGTCCACAGCCTTCATGTGTGGTCCCTCACCATAGACAAGAATGCACTGTCTGTCCATCTAGCAGTCGGTAAGAACACCCTGTTAGTCCATCTTGCAGCCTGTAAAGAGGAAAATTCTTATGGTCAAAGCCTAAGCTCATCCTTCATTATCCACTGTATCATATCTTCAGTCAGTTATGATACAATAACCACCTCCATGGTCTACTGGATTGAGCGTCTGCCTGGAGAGCTGAAGGATGGTACATCGATCACTGGCCATTTTGTGCCCAAATGCTCTTGTTGTTACCTTACTGGGCATGAGTGATAAAACATGGACTGTTCGGCTCAATATAACAGGAACACAGACGCATGATGCAAGTGCTGTATCAGTATGCTGCCTCACAGACTCCTATAGACTCTGCTGCTATGGAAGCTTCCCTCACCGATCACCTCGGTTCATTTCCTCCCAGGGTTACATTGTGTGAAGTCTAGTTGTTTCATCAGAGCCACGATATTGCTTGAATATCACTCTCTGGGCCTCGTTCTTCAAAGTGATCGTAACCCTAAGATGATTGTAACTCCCATACTTTAACATAGACTTATGACTGTCGTAGCGCTACGATCGTTTTGTGGAATGGGGCCCTGATCACAGAGGTACAGATAAGCTGCGTATCTGCGTAAATTACGGAAATATTTATGTGAAAACACAATTCCTATTAAGTCTATTGCATACAAGTACGCTTGATTTATGGTAAATACTCAATAAATTTGATCTTACATGCGTACACACACAAATGTCAAATCTTAGCTTGTGTACCGGTGGATAGATAAAATAACTGAGGAATACTGAGAGGTTCTATATCAGCACTTGAACTTGGCAACTTGCAGTCTTTCTTATTGTTTCTCATAAAAATATAAATAAGAAACACGTAAACCAACATTTAAATATAATTTAAATATATTTTTATAATGGCAAAATAAAAAGATGGCAAAATACCCAAATGAATTTGAGTGAGGTGGGTACAATTTATATGGTTACTCAAAGGAAAATTAGGATACCCAATTGAGGTTACGAGTACATAACGCAATGACCCAAAAAGTTATCTGTAGCTCTGGATCACTTTATCCCTGCCCTGCTCACCTGGATGTTTTTGTTACAGGTGAGTCTACAGACCACACCGACGTGCTGTCTACAGCCACCAGTAAGATGCAGCGAAATCACAACATCAGTCACGTGACCATTCAGGTGGAGCAGTACGACAGGGAGGTCATGTCTTCCTGTGAACAGTGCCAGGAGCCCAAGAAATAGGGGTCTTTCTTCTAGACAAAGTAGTAATCAGAGATCTTTATATTTCTATCATGGTACTGAAGGGAACCTATGTTTGACATCGATATGCTTTCAGTAACAGTCATCTTAGTAGTGATTGCTTGACTAGGTGTACGCAATATCATTTGAGACCTGGAAGCTCCTGCAACGCATTTACATGGGAAACCTGTGCAACAAACTCTGTAATACTGCAACACATTTACATGGGAAACCTGTGCAACAAACTCTGTAATACTGCAACACATTTACATGGGAAATCTGTGCAACAATCTCTTTAATACTGCAACACATTTACATGGGAAACCTGTGCAACAAACTCTTTAATACTGCAACACATTTACATGGGAAACCTGTGCGACAAACTCTGTAATACTGCAACACACTATAATACTGCAACACATTTACATGGGAAACCTGTGCAACAATCTCTTTAATACTGCAACACATTTACATGGGAAACCTCTGCGACAAACTCTGTAATACTGCAACACATTTACATGGGAAACCTGTGCAACAAACTCTTTAATACTGCAACACATTTACATGGGACACCTGTGCAACAAACTCTTTAATACTGCAACACATTTACATGGGAAACCTCTGCGACAAACTCTGTAATACTGCAACACATTTACATGGGAAACCTGTGCAACAAACTCTTTAATACTGCAACACATTTACATGGGAAACCTGTGCAACAAACTCTTTAATACTGCAACACATTTACATGGGACACCTGTGCAACAAACTCTTTAATACTGCAACACATTTACATGGGAAACCTGTGCAACAAACTCTTTAATACTGCAACACATTTACATGGGAAACCTGTGCAACAAACTCTTTAATACTGCAACACATTTACATGGGAAACCTGTGCAACAAACTCTTTAATACTGCAACACATTTACATGGGAAACCTGTGCAACAATCTCTTTAATACTGCAACACATTTACATGGGAAACCTGTGCAACAATCTCTTTAATACTGCAACACATTTACATGGGAAACCTGTGCAACAATCTCTTTAATACTGCAACACATTTACATGGGAAACCTGTGCAACAAACTCTTTAATACTGCAACACCAGCTCACATCTGAACTGCCAGATGGCAGATCTGGCAGACGTCAGGAAGTACCAGGTGATATCTCAACAATGACAACAATACTTTGCTTTAACTTGGGTCTAATGATGCTATATGCGGAGTTATTTCATGATATTCTTCAGACAATTAATACATAATCTAGGGAAAATCATGCTTTTCTCAACCAATACCAGTTTCAGAAGGATGCATTTCTCAACACAAATTCGGAAGAAAAGAATGTTCTCTATTCCCATGTGACTTGTTTTGACCAATGGCTGATCAAAGCCCAGAGCCAGCTTTCATCAAGTCATTATTGACATGGTATTCCTGTATTTCTACTGAACAGCTGAGATATACTACTCAAAGGAGTTAAGGGCCACTACATTCTTTCATATTACTATAGTTAATCTGTCATACGTTAGAGATAATTATAGTAACATAAACAAATGGGATGGCCCTTTCCTTTGAGCTTTACATATTTTCTCAAAATGCCAAACATGTATACATTTCTGCTTGCCATAGTCTGGTCTAACAGTTGCTGTAAAGAATGTCTCTCAATGATCTCCTCTAGGGCATTCATTTGGAGCTTTAAGTCATAACTGAAATATTTTATGACTTCAGCAATATTACCCTATCATTATCAATGTTGTTTATTATTTTTTTTCATGTTGGAATTTCCATGTATTTCCATGTAATACCTCGCACATGTTATGCTGTGGATATTGTAACCGTGGTAACCAGAAATTCCAGGGCACAACATGCAGCTTAAAATAAGGCCAGTAGATCCATGTAACACTTTAATGTGTACAAGTCAGGTGTCCCAGGAGGACAGACTGTGCTTCCATACCAAACAGTATGCTACACACTTCTAAATAATATTGTAATGTTCATGAGCTGGTAATATCTATGGCCATGATATTGTAATATTTATGTTCATGATATTGTAATCTTGCAATATTTATGTTCATGAGCTTGTGATTTTGTAATTTCAAAGTTCATGATAGTGTAATACTTATTTTCATAAGCTTGTAATATTGTAAGATCTATGGTTATGATATTGTAATATTTAATTTTATGATATCGTAATATTGTAAGGTCTATGTTCATGATATTGTAATATTTTTGTTCATGACATTGTAATATATAAATTCATGATACTGTAATATTGTAAGATCTATGGTTATTTCCGTACATCATACGCGATTCAATGTTATTCGAGATAAAGAATTACTACCACGAAGTACCAAATGAGTTGCCATTGACAGCGGGGTACATTGAAATGTTACTCGCTTGCAAGTTGGGTACATTGAAAATAATAGAAGAGCGCTCTGCCAATCAGAAAGCGACATTTATGTGTGAGGTAAGATAAATGTTTATGTAAGCTGGTTTAGTCAATGCTCCAGTAAAACACTTCCCAATCAGATATCTATACCAGCTCTTGAGACCTGCAGTGGGTACCCAGATTGAGGACGGTAATAAATAGTCATATACCCTGGTAGTGAATATGGACTTGTTCCAGCACTATTATGAATGTTTTAATCGTTTAAAGTAATTGTTTTGGTGAACAGTGTCGATATTCACACTTTAAGCCTCAACCTCCAATACCACCCATCCCAGTTTTGTACCTCAGTTGTATTTGATTTGAATTAGTAGATTGTTGAATCTTGTGTTTGCGTGAGGTTAATGCAAGCATGGCGTTAATCATGATTTTATGAGTGCTTCCATGGATCTGCCCAAATGCTGTTGTGCAGGTGTATAACAAAGTCATTGTTCTAACTTTGACAGTTCAGTGAAAGTCAACCTGGTGTTTTCACTGCGAGAAATCATATCATAGGATGTATATATTTACAATACCCAATCCAGATGTTGAGAGGTTTCTGCTGAATACACACCTCCAGTAGTAGCCAAGAAGTTCTACACAAGATGCTAGTTCCCTACGACTACTAAGTTGTGATGAGGGAAAGGGACAATCCAATTAAGGCTGTTTCATTGACTTGTAGCATTTGAGCGTCGATATTCTAACCCAGTTTCCATATCTTCAATTTTTTTAGAAAATGAATAAACCATTTTAGTTTTGTTCAAGCTGACTGGCTGCAAGCCCCGAGGACAGGTATGATAGGGTTTACAGTAGTTTCACTAGGTGTCTGGACTAGTGCTGCAGATTACTTTGTACAGATGATTAACAAAGGTAGAGTGAGATGCCAACAAAGATTAACGACGGATATAACAAACTGTGTCTTGGGTCCCAAGCATTTGTTGGAATTTGCTGTATTCAGTTTTGACTGTAATCATGTGTCTTTTTTCACAAGTATTATAAACTAGGTTTTTAATGAAGTTTCCTATAATGAAAAACTGTGTTTTGGGTCCTGCGCTGTATGTTATAGTCGAAATGGATATAGCAAAGTACTGTTATAACCAACTCAACTTACTGGTTCCTTTGAGTTCCTTATAACCATAGAGTACTATGTATGTGTCTTGTTTGCTCTCCTGACTGAAAATCAAATGAGCATTTAAGAAAATGAACTTTACATATTCCTTCCCACCTGGCAATGCCTTGTTCAAGAAGGTACCAATATGATTCAAAATAGCCATCACAGCAAGTTTCTATTGTGCGTGTATGTGATATCTTCTCTTCTGAAATTTTTCAAAAATAGGAAGCTTGGAAGCTTTCTTGTTTTGATGAAATATTTTCTTCACATCGATAAAAGTAGTATATGGTTCTTGATAGACCATAGAGAAAATATTTTGATATCAATGCTGTCGGCAAGTTTGATTGTTTATAAGTTTTATTAAGTGAGTGGTTTTGTTGACATTTATAACTGATGACTTCATATCAAAGTGAGCTACGGAGCCTAGGGAGTATTTTTGTAGTTAATCAATATGTACATACGATATTTACCATGTTATATTTTTGCAATTACTTTCTCTGTATGTCAGTGATCTGAATATGATATTGTTTATGTTGTTCTCGATTCAAGTTTCAAGTCATTTCATGTGCTGTGCTTTTTTCTGTTACCATAGTAACAGTGATATTTTTAGAATGAAAATTCAAATGAATAATCATTTACACTATAAAGCCAAATAGACTTTTTGTACATGTTCGATAAGATGTTTCCATAGAAACATGATTATGCCTGAGTTGCCATGCAACAGCAGACAAAGAGGCACATTATCATTTAGAAATGTATCCAGGGCCATGATTGTGAGTGTTTATGATATATTTATCATTTTTACCAGTCCCTAGATGACCAACCAATGGTTGGATTCAGGTTGAATTCTTGTTGTTATTTAGGTACAGCTGAAGGAACCAGATCAGAATTGCATTATGAATGATGTTGTTTCTGTGACTCGGACAGTTTTTGTGACAGTTTTTGAATAAGCATTACCAAGGTGTACAACTGCAGTGATGTTAGATTGCCGTTATTGAAACATGTTTTCCAATAAGAATTGACTTCAATCTGTTTTTGTGTATATTGGGGTGCAAATCTACGTGTAAGGTCAATTCTTTTTAATAAATATGTATGTAGAAATAAGAATAATAATCTTCACAGATGCTCCTTTAATCATAACCAAAAAATCCCTTACCAAATCAGTGGCATTGGTCAGCACCATCAGGCAATGCAAGCCCAAGCCATTCTGTTACCAGCCAATCAGATAGTCATGTAGAGTTGATGGCCTGTTTATTTAAAAGTGCTTGGTTATTCAATCAAATGAAACAGAATCCCTTTCAGTTTATATATTTAAACATCAATATAACATGGTCATAGTTTAATTTGTGAAACTTTAAGTGAATCGTGTGTATCTAGTTTTATTGTTTCTTGTCTCAAGGTACACTTGTATGTGTAATAATACCATTACAATACCAAGGTAATATTTCCCAGAGAAAAACCAAATATATGTGCAAATTGATTCGCAATATGATTCTTAACATGATTCTTAACACCAAACATTATTGATTCCAAAAGTGCATGAGTTCATAAAAATGTCTTGTTACTGTGTATAGCTTGTAAAGTGTCGATCATCCTGGAAGTTGAAAGTTTAAAAGACTGAAAAAGACTGAAGGCATAACTTAAGAAAAGAATTATTTCTCAGGGATTGGATTGTCTTCAATGCACATTTTAGTATCTGGAATGGGGGTAGTTATGAAAGGGGTTGTGATGTGCATGAAGTAGAAGACCTTGCATTATGTGAGCTGTTTCTGGTTCTGTCAACAAGGTCAACTAGTGTGTGAAAGGCAGCCTTACAAGGACACTTTTGTATTTTGTGTTTGTTTTGTAAATCTAATA